GGCTAGGTCACGCTATTTTATGTAATTATGTTTAATTTTGTTAATTATGAGCTCTAAACGTCAAATTGGCAGAGCAAGAGTCTTTCATTTGCAAAATCACGGACACATAACGACTGAGAATGATTTCCCAGCTGTGTAAATGACATTTTGACATAAACTGGTATAAATTTTAAAAAAGGTGGACCGACATTTTTCAAATTTACCCAAATGCAATCCGTTTTAATCCTCTCCACTTTTGTCCATCCATGTCCCTTCTTGGCTTTCCTGTGTTTTGTTAGAGTTCTTCTATAGTTTTGAGCCGTTATTTTGACACTTTAGTTAATTCTATGACTATTTGATCAGTGCTGAAATTGCCTAAAATTGCGTGACCTAGCCTCTTTAAGCAATTGGAAAGAAGAAGCCTGAAAAAATCAGGGCTTCAACGGGATTGGGACCCGTGACCTCCGCGAATACTGGTCCGATGCTCTTCCAACTGAGCTATGAAGCCACACATCTGGAGCGAGGTCAATTAATTGAGTTCAAATCTTCCCGTGAGGAGTGAAATGATGTGAAGTATATATGAATTAATTCATATTTGAACTGCGGTTGCAGATTTAAGTGAAGAATGATCATCGCAGAGAGAATATTTGAAAAAATTAGGACTGAAAAGACAATATAAGCCATAGTCCGAGAAGGGAGGAGCGCTTTTGGATACTCTTTACTAACTTTAACGCTATTAACTCCAGAAGTGTTGTAGTAAATTTGGTGGCTTTCCCTAAGATTTATCTAGGACCAAATTGATAGGAAAAACTTTTTTTCAGTAACATATACCCTTTGTAAGTAAATCTAGCTTTCTTTATTGTATTTGACTACTTTATTTAAAGCACATTTTTTGGACTTAAAAAGAAATATTTTTGAAGCCGTGTTAAATCCTCCAAGTTTCATTGCCATAGCCTTATAACATTATGAGTCACAGAGTGAAGGGCACTAACCCACCATTAACCGAAGTTACAAACGAGTTACAAACCTGCTGGGTCTTGAAACACAACCACAGCTCTACCACTTTTAGGTACAAATTGCACGCTTTCCACAGGACCCCCACTGTTTCTTTGACTTTCAAAGTGTAGTTCAATGGCATCATGGGTAGTGTTTTCTGAAAGACCGCTGACAAGAATGCTCGTACAAGCTGGAACTTGTTTGATGGAAACCTTAGCTGAATCTAATTTTCTTTTTTCGCCTTTGGTCTTGATTCTTTTGAAGTCTAAGAAATGTAACAATAATCATTAAGGTTTAAATAAAAAATCTGTGGAAATATTCACATCGCCTCTGTGTAAGAAAACTAAGCAAATTTTACAGTAAAACTCCAATAACCGTTTACTAACCTCATTTACTAAAATATTGAAAAACGCTGCACTAAAAAAGGGTTCACCTTGCGTGATGACATGTTTTATCCAGAAGTATTATGAGAAAGAACACAGAAATATGGTCTTACTGACTACGACCTTTTTGTCTTGAGGTGGGTTTCCTGCTTCCAGATATCAATGGAATTTTAAATGGTGCTCGTTTCAAATGGGTTTTCATGCATGAAACCTTAGCCAAAATTGATTAATGACGTTGCCTTTAGAAAGTAGCAAACAGTGTTAATTTAAGTGCAATTCTCCTTGCAGGAAAAGCGTTTTACGTAGGCCAAGTAGCACTCAAGAAAGATGAAGTGGCTACTTAAAACAAATGCACTCTCTGTGAACAGACGTCTGGCACCCCGAGGGGGGGCGGGGTACTCCCTTATATGGGCTATATAGGTATGTGCGGCCCCAAAGGGTAGAGTTTTTTAGCTGTTTTGGTCATAAATAGGGTATCGATTTTGGTCATTTTGGTCTTAAATAAGGTATGGTTTTAGCACTCTAGTCTTGAATTGGGTTTGTTTCTTAGAAGAAGCTACTTTTTCATCGTTATCAATAAGACCATCAACAAAAGCCCTTCATAACTTATGTTTAGAGCAACTGTGCCAGCCACAACGGTCATAAATAGGGTATCGAGTTTTTGGCCAGGTCATAAATAGGGTAGCAAAAAATCGCGGATTTTGGTCATAAATAGGGTAAGGGTTTTGGGAAGTGGGTCGCACATCCCCACCCAACTTTTCTGGAAGTATCCCCGGAGACTGACAAATGAACAGGTACAAGACCTTTGGACTCTTTTCCAGCCTTTGTTACGAGTTCCCTGATGATTTAAAGAACCGCTGCGAATGACGGGACGAAATAAACTGACCGTTAGGGAAATAACGGTCCAGGAGAGATAAGTTAACCTTCCCCTAAAATAAATTGCATGTGAACATCTTTGCAAAGCAAACAATGATTACGTTAAGTCACACCGTAATATCAACTACAATAGACGACATTGGTACTCTTGGTATTGGACCGGAACTAGCCTGCTACTGAGGCTAATTCACGGAGTCTTTTCAGATGTAAATGACATTAATCTCTTTTTAATGATATTTCCCCCCATATATGCCTCCATTGCAAGCTAGTTCCAGTCCAGTACCGAGAATACGAATATGGCCAATTTGACTTACCTGTTATGTCATTGGCCATTGTGATCAGGGCTTTGTCGTTTGTCAGCTTTACCTCCGTCACCTCTTCACCGCTCATTGCCTCAATGAAGTTCAGCACGCACTCTTCGGTCGTTGACGTACTTAGCCCGCAAACGAGTAATTGATTCGGTTCAAATCTAGATTGCTGTCTTCCTCTTTTTCCAGCACCATCACCATCATCATATTTTTGTTCTTCATCTTCCTTGTCCTCTTCTTCTTCCTCTTCTTCTTCCGTTTCCTCTTCCTCTTCTTCTTCCGTTTCCTCTTCCTCTTCCTCTTCTTCTTCTTCTTCTTCTCCTACTTTACAGTCGTTCTCTGAGGATCAAAAGTGAACTTCAATACTATTTGACTCGTGACATTTCATTCATTTATACGATTGATACACGAAATTGCCTTCATTTTGGAGAAATGCAGTTAGCCATAAGCCGAGGAGACAGGGTGGATAAGATATAGAAAGTTTGAGGCAGATCACGAACGGCAAACTTGAAACATTCAAGCTTTAGCCTGGTAAATGTTTCAGGGCTAGTCATTCGTAATGTAGCTTTCTATGAACTAAACTTCTTTGATGCCAAATTATACTTAAGGGCCACAGGTTTAGTGTTTCTTACATTTATTTTCGTTATTTTACATTTATAATCCTGTTATTTTCATTTGATGGACATAATTAAGAGAGATGCACAAGGCTCTTGCTGACACACATAAAAAGTGATTGCTTATTAAATGCGAATTTCTTTTGCGTTTTAGTGTAAACGGGAAAACAATTTAAGAGACAAATAATTGTTTCTGTAACAATGTTCTCTTGACTGGAGACCCTCAAGAGAAAAGTAAATATCAATCCAGTCTGCTCAGTCACCTGGCCTTTGAATGGCAACGAGACTGTAGGTGACCTTGTTTTGATACAGACCTCGCTGCTTTTGTTGTGAAAATCAAGTTGTTCTAACGCTAACTAGTTTGCATTTAAATAAGAAAAGCAGATAGGTTTGTATCAAAGCGAGGCCATCTCCAGGCTCTCTTGCATTTATAGGCCAGTTAGCTCAGCAAACAACTGTAAATGGCCTATTGCCAAATACACATTCCAAAATAGATAACAAGACCAACAATTTTACTCACCTCCCAAAATAATGAAAACGTTGTTGCTCATGGTCGATGCTTTAAAGCCAGGAAAATCTTTTAATGGAGAAACGTGGTTAGTTTGAGTGTAGTAAAACCAAAAGCAAAGTAATCACTCTAGCGAATCACAAAAAACAAAGAAAATCTATCGAGCAAATCAAGACTTGAAGTAGTTACATATAGTTGAAGCTAAGCGCGGGAAAACGTAAGCGAGCGACTCACGATTGATTCTGGTCTTAGTTCTGATTGGATGAAAATGTGGCGCAAGTTTTTTAAGGCAATCCTAAGGCGTAGTAAGTGCGAAACCAATTACTTGTCGACATTCAAATGATGAAAACCGCTCTATATTGATCATAATTTAATCATGAATGCATGAGTGCATGCTTCGTTATCACGCGTCCTCTACATGACATTACATAACTCGATACACCAGTGCGTCAATCTATAGGAGTGCGGGCACCTTCGGACCTAGAAGGGGGGTCCTCTAGGCCTCACCATCGAGCTGAATTTTTATATCGAAAGTGGCCTATTCTCATCATATCTAATGAAACAGCTACAAATTCCAAAACAGTCTGCATTTTACCCCAGTCGGCATTTTACCCCTGGTTTGCAGTCCGCATCTTACCCTTAGTCTGCATTTTACCCCCCGGTCCGTAGTCTGCATTTTACACCGACTGATCAGAAATTGGAAAAGGAAATAATATCCCTATCGTGGATTTCCACGGTACACATTTGACCGACTTGTAGCTAACAGAAAACCCCAGGTAACTCGTATCATTTCAGTCTAAATCCCTAAGTTATGGTAAGGCAAATGTAAGAGAAAGTAGCTTGCAAGCCTTGAAACCTAAAAAAACAGAAAGACAGCCCGTTCTTTGTCGGGAGCCTGAAAGGCCACGGTCTCACAGACTACCGTGGCGTCTTCGGTGTTGACTACGATGGCCTTTCACGTAGTTTACAAGTCTTACATCTGCCGGTTCCAAGCTATGATATTTCGTATAATCACTTGAATAACTTCGTCTGCGGGTGTCTGATCTCGAGCTCACAAAATGACCAGCTCCCATGCTCAGTCGGGTGGAAAGCTAGCTAAGTTGGCAGAGCTCTGCCCCAGTATCGTTATGAATTTGATCCTGTTGAGGCCTGAATTTGTTTTCAGGCCTACGCGAGTACTCAAGTTATTTTAACTGCTAAAGTTGCCTACGTGACTGTTATGGTCTTGCATGTATTAGAAAATCAAAACAGTCAGCGTAGAGATGAATTGTTTGAAGGTACAGGGCCATGACGGGTCAACACAAACATCCAAACGAAGCCAATGAAAGTCGAAGACCTGAAACTGCGCGCTGTCAAGAAAGTCTAATTTAGCTGCGTTCATTTGAAGACCTAAAAATAAAACTGCCGTGTTTGCAAAATTCCAGAAATATGAATGTTTAGCCCGTGTGACAGCCGCTTCCCCCCAATAAAAATTGATCGGAGAGACATGCATAAGCGCGTCTCCGATTTTTCTTTCCGGGAGGGCGGCCGCCGGACACCGGCTATTAAATGTTCTTTCAAGATACAGTCAGATATTTTTCGATTTTGTAGCATTAAATTTCACATAACACCATCTACGCACTGCATTTCATGAAATGATCTATCACTTGCGCTCAAACAAACATCAATCTCATTGTATTCAACTATGTTAACCCAGCTTCTCAAGTTTGAAATATCAATTCTCCCCACTCTGCGGCATAAATTTGTTTGTTGTGTTATCGTAGTTCTCAGAATGAGAACTTGGTGTTTCATCGACAAAAATCTTATAGTTTACCCCGAGCAAGGATTTCAGAACGTCAGTCGCGCAGTAAACCCAGGGGGCTCCACGCAAGAAAGACAATTGTAATGTTTTGTATTTTTGGGAATGAAAAGGATTACTTTAAAATTACTTGAACAGGCGCTGATTTCCACGAACTGAGTTTTGTTTTCTAGTTTCAATTCACCCGTTACTTTGCTTATTCCTAAGTATGGTAATAGCGCTCTAATGGTACAACAGTGTTTTACGTTGGAGAGGAAAATAACGAAGCGCGCGAAGTCAAAAGTAATATGTAAATTACTGGAGCCTCGAAAGAGTCAGACAACATAATCGTGTTGAGCAGGCTGCAAGCAAGCTCTCCGAGTGGCAACTGAAAGAAGGAGAGGAAGAAGAGGGGAAGAAGAGCCTGCTCGCAGGCTATGTTCTGAGAGAAATGAGAGGAATTGTGGGAAAATTTTCGTTTCAAAAAGTGTTTTGGGAGTACGAGCTTACGCGCTAGAAGAAAGCTTCAAATCTTCCACCAATCTGTTTTGTTTGTCTGAGTTATAACGTGACTAGCGCGCTTCGCTAGTCATGAGTACAAGCCGAAATAAAGTTTTCAAGACAAGCATGATACCTGGGGCATGTCACACTTTCAGACGTTAATTTTCAATGTTGTTTTCACCTTGTCAAGAGGGATGGGGTGGAGAGGAGGGGGGTTAACGGGTAAATTTTCTCAGCTCTCAGTTGAAATTTTACCTATCAACGAGATATTGCAAAGGGCACACCTTAACCCAGCAGAGTTAAAAAGCGCTTCATTTCTAATCTAATTGCTATAAATTTTGACCAATTCTGAGCTACTATTTAAAATGCCTATCTTCAGTATATATGACAGACTTCCTACCTTCTATTGCATCTGCTGGCTCACAACTGATCAGTAAGTCGGGCCCTTCTCTTTACAAGCACTAGAAGAGGTGATACTGACTGTCAACTTCTGGAGGGAATGGAAAGTGAAACAGGAAAAGACCTGACTTTACTTAAATATATTTTGGCGGATAATTTCCGTATAATCATGTGACCTTATAAGTCACACTAATTAAACCACACAAACGATAAAATAAAAGCTTCAGCAACAAAGTCTATTATGCATGGCTTAACAAGTCAAAACAACCAAATGTACAGTCACGTACAGCGCTGGCAAAAAAAAAAATAGATACCGAAACATCCATTCTTGTTAATAACTATCGGTGCAGGCAATGCGGAAAACTGTTTGCATTCACTTTCTTTTTCTCGTCTCACCTTCCTTCTTCTCGTTTACGCCTTCAGGTTATGTGAAAACTAGTCCGATGCGCGAAAAAATAGCCTGACGTAACAACATGGTGGTTGTCAACTTTTCCCTAATGGACTCTACTTGTGCTTGCGTCTGTAGATTTGCCTTTTTTTAAAGTACCTGCATTACCTTCCTGCGAGTAACACAACAACAAAGTAGGCATTGAATGAGCGTTTCTAAAATATACCTGATATTGTGGAAAATGGCGGCGAAATGTGTGCGTACGTGAGGTTATGCTTTCGATATGCATGCCGGGTTTTTTTTTTTTTTGTCTTCCTTATGTCTTCCTTATGTCTTCCTTATGTTTTCCTTGTGTTTTTCAGCTTCAGTGTGGTGCATCTTTCGTGAATATTTTACAGTCATTCTAGAAGCTTTGAGCGAAATTTGCCCGCCTAGCAGTCGATCATATCGGTTCCTTCCCAAAACGAATAGCTTACGAGGCACGCAAAGGCTCAGAGAGCGAAAGTGACACAAAAATAGCAAGGGGACGGGGCAAGTGGCATGGAAGGGAAGAAATATTTCTTCACTTTCGTGGCCAAAGCCTATATATGCCCCCAAGTTTTTCGTTTTCCTCTTGCGCGCTTGGGAAGAAAACGACTACTACGCGAGCTAGAGCGTAATCTGAACAATGAGCCGCAATTTGGGTGGACGGGCAAAGTGAGACTGCATGGAACTGACCTGTTTGGGCTTCTTTTACTTCGCTTCAGTCTGCAACTTGGCGGGTAATCGACATCAAGGGACATCGAAGATCACTGCTGATTATTCGCTGAACGTGGATGAGGTGTCACAAGACTGCGAACCGGCTCTTTAAATGCCGCGGCGTGCTGTCAGAATTGTATCACAGGTTATGGTTGGTCAAATGTTGCAAAATTCAACAACGTGCACATCTATATTCAACAACTTATATTTATTTTCAACAAGATATATTTCTACTTCTATACTTTACTTTTATTATTTTTGTTATTTTACTTTTATTACTTTTATTATATTCAACAAAATGCATTTTCATTCAACTTCCACCAACACCATTTTGATTCAAGAACAATATTTGTTCGACTTGAAATGCCAAATTTATCTTCTGCAACATAAGCATTTATTCAACTTCAATCATGCATAGCTATTTAACATACCTTCTTTACATACAACGTTTGGAAAAGTTCCCGGAAAAAGGCAGTAATACGAGGTATTACTGCCCGTGAAAATCAAGATGAAAGTGGGTTTGTTGCTGACTATGCGCGCAGTTACCTATGATATGATCCTACTGAAAGGTTATTTTGAGTTGGAAACAGGCCAGTCGGAAAGTGAAATCAGAGAAAGCATAACAGAGGTACTGAAGTAACGCTCACTTCCCATTTGTGCGACCAGATCATTTTGACTTTGTTAAAGTGCTACTACGATCAAAAAATTCACTTCCTTTTTCCTTCAGATTTTAAAAGCGTGTTTGTGTGACACCTGACTGCCAAAATCTTGAGCTTCGAATTTCATCCAAAGGCTGTTTTAAGTGCGTTTAGGATTTCACGGTTTCACATTCAAGACTGACCGATTGGACCTCAGAGGGTTGGATCGAGGATAAGATGACGTCAAAGACTCACTAGCTTAAAATTGCAGCGTGTAAACGCAGCTTATTGTACATGCAAAACACGAGTTTAAAAGTCTGAATGTTCGAAACTCCCGTGGCTGCATATTAATTAAGGCGCGTGCACACGCATTGCATTTTTATACCAGTGAGTATGACGTCATCTTATCCTCGATCCAGCACTCTCAAGATTTTAAAGTTAGTAATGGCGGAACATTAAGTAGGAAAATTCCAGTCAAAATAAACAGGTGTCTTTTTGAAATGAAGGCTTGTTATATAGTTTTGAAATACAAAGAAAAAGTAGAATTGACTTTTGGTCACAGTAGCACTTTAAGTGTGAGCGAAACAAAGTAAGTACCCCATGAAAACAAATCTCTTGAGTGAAATTACAACACGTTGTAGAATTTTGCAACATTTGGCCAACCATAATAGGCAAGTTCACCCGTAACATTAAAAATAGAAAAATTGTCCCATTTCATAGGGACAGCCCCGGTGCTAGAAATGCCGCGCGCTTACGGCCTCCGTCCCCGATTATGGCTCCTGGTGCTAAGTGCTACGGCCCTTAGTGACAGCGCAACCCTATGAAGCATTCCCTTTGTGCGATATCATACTTGAGAAAATAGCTCATAGAAAATACGTGCGCTGATTGGTTTAAAATCGTGTTTCTATTAAGCAATTTGATTATGATTATTATTGTAATCCTGATAAAATAGTAATAGATCACAATTTAAGTGACCGGGAATGACTCACATCACGAGAAAGCAAAAATATATCAATCTTAACGGCCATGGCTCCTCTTCTCCAAGCCAACATGACACTGAATCTGTAGTGTCTTTTTCAGTCTATGCGATGTTTTCCTTTTTTAGTTGAAGGAATAGAGAAACACGATCTTATTTTATAATCATATCCTTCTGTTTTTTTTTTGCTCTGAGGAAGAGTAGCGCAAGGATATTATCATGTCTTTTAATGTAATTTTCTCAGTCATATGATAAAGATATTATTATATGACTGAGAAAATTACTTAATCGTGATCGGCCGAGAGCAGGCCGATTTATCGTTAATTCTTAATTTGTACTGCAGTGCAAATTCACGCGCGCGCGTTTGTAATTTTCTCAGACAGATAATAAATAAATGAGTAATCGTATGAAGACCTATGAAAGCTCAAGCAATGAAGGATTTACACGACTCGTTGTATTTAAAAATTCTTTCAGATTGTACTCGCCTTAAGGCTCGTGCAATTTTGAGAGAATTTCAAATATCATATATTCCTAGTGTAAATCCTTACTGACACTCGAGTTCATACGATAACATATACTAAATAAATAGAGAGAGGTCTGTCTTTTCTGCTGATGTGATAGTAAAATATTTTGTTGGAAGTCTATTTTCTCCTAGAGCGATGTAGCTATTTACGGTCAAAAAGCTCTACATATATGTAATCCTTGATCTCACCGGATCTGAGATGAGACTATTGTCACACTAAAAAATGTCTTGAGTCGCTTCTGGAATTCTGTTACATATTTCGTAAAATATTTACTCTTATAACTGTAACAAAACTGAGAAACATAGCCAGTTGATTGCACAATTAACATTATACACCTAAAATCTTCACCTATTACATAAAACTTACATATCGTGTTTGTCACGAACACCATCTCGCCATGTGATCTGGCATTGTTATAGAATCGAACTGTAACGTAACAAAAAGTACCGATTTTTTTTATATCAAATACTATAAATTAATGTACTTACAGAGTTAACTTCTTAATCCAATTTGAAATCTAATGCTGTTTAAAGGGCCTGAGTCGGCGACACCTTTGTTTTAGTTTACGCACGAGCGTTTGGCTATTAGATTTATACAGTCGAACCCCTATTAAGCGGCCACCTATTAAACGGCCACCCCTATTAGGCGGCCAGCAATCGAAGTCCCAATGATGGTTTTTCTATTGTTTCTACCTCTATTAAG